CGGGTACCCGAACTCCACTTTGAGACTACGTTGCTCAATCTATAAGTAATCATCCTTCTGTGAGTAGCGTAGATCACTCTCACAGGGCAGTGATTGTTACAATCTGAAGATACACTGAAGGGCGCTAATTTTTGCAACTTTGCAAGAGGTGGCTGCAGCTATTCTTTGGAACGCGAAACGCAGACGACTGTCTACGTCTCACGCATCCTTCATGTTCTCTCGTCTGTCCTCCCACCTCGAGGCCCAGCTGTCATAGCCCTAATCGCTCCCGTAAAAGGAAGCAAGAATTCAGTGATTTTTTGAGTTTTCTTTTGCTTTCTTCATCACAGGCGATCCCGATCGCATCTATGCTTAAATTCTTGAGACATATCTTCCGTTCTTTATCCTTTAGCTCAGGACTCACCCATATAGCAAGTGGCAAGATGCTTCTCGAGGGAGAACAAGCCATACAGTGCGATGAGACGGAGTAGTACCTAAAAGAATAGAATAAATTGTTCTGTAATCTGTGAGATTTACATTGTGTATTATGTATAGAAATGTTGCACGATGTGATCACCAGCGGTGAAATGGTGCATTCTGCAGCAGTACAGATCCATTCCCAAAGTTACAGAACTACCTGAGCTCCTCCTCTGCTTCTCTCCCACAAAGGGGTAGAGCGCAGGCGGGTAGACTGACGGATTACTGTGCTTGAATCAAGCATCAAGCTATACAAGGAATGTGGGCACTTCTGCTAATGAGTGGCTCTGATGAATCCACTCAAAATATGTGAGCGATTCAGAGTGTGAGATTTCTGGAGGTTGTTTTATTGTATTGGTGGAAGGCTTCAACTGGTAAATAAGCGTTGTTTGCGCGCGAATTTCGTTCATGTATTATACAAATTGTCCGAGAACTGCCTGCAGCTGGCACAGTAAGAGCCGTACCCTATCCTTTCCCCAGGGGACGGGTTTCCCACTGCCGATCCTTCCCTTCATTGGGGAACAGGGTTGTGTCATAGGATCAGCCATATTCTGCGTTTCTAGGCTCCAGACAGCGCGACCCTTTAGAGAAGAGAGTGCCTCAACAGCCAGGGTAGCTACAACATCAATGGCGGGTCCTATGACGCAGCCCTCCCTCCCCCAGCCGTGGGAGAGGGCCAGC